AAGTGATACAAACCAGGCACAGGAAACAACACTCAATCATCTCACTCATATTTGGAATCTAAAAAAGTCGAGTTCACAGAAGTAAAGAGTAGAACAGTAGTCGCCAAGGCTGGTGGAAGTGAAGAGTTAAAGAGATGTTGGTCAAAGGATTGAACATTTCAGATAGGAGAAATGACTTCAGGAGCTCTGTCGTACAACATGGTAGTTATAGTTGATAACAATGTATTATATACTTGAAATTGAGATTAATTTTTATTCACTTTTGCCACAAAAAATCAGTATGCAACGTAATGGATATAATAATCAGTTTGGTTTAGTAATTTCACAGCTATACATGCATCAAAACTCCATGTTGTACACTATAATTTTTTAAAAAGGAAATAAGAACAAAGCTGAAAGATCATGTCCTTAACTCCAAGTGAAACGACTTTCAAGTTGTGGAGATTCCGAAAGGCTTCACAATGTGAGAAACACCTTGACTTCAGGTGGATCTTGGATGATCCATAGATACCATATCTTATGGACAATGTTGTGGAAAGAATGGATTTTGAGAGCATTTATAGCTTTCATGGCCTTCTCATTAAATTCTATAGCACAAAAATGCTCAAGTGAATGAGATATCTTTTTCACTAACATAAGCATCAAACAAGCCAACAGGACTTACGCAAGTAGCATGCTGGTCAATATTGAGGAAGTGGCTCTCCAGTGGGAACAAGCCCTAATACACAGTATTTGTGAATCACTCTGGTGTACATACTCCACCATGGCCAAGTTTAATTTGACACCAAACTCAGCAAATTCCTGGAAATGTACCAATCACCTTTCCCAAACCTATAAAGGTCGACAGCCACAGACTTCCGATTTAAGGCCAGTTAGTTCTTCTCCAGGTCTAGAGAAAACTGAAATTAAGCCCAATTATAAGTGAGAACAATTGAGTCTAATTTTGCACACATTTTTCTTTGAAATTTTGTAAGTGTTGCTTTAAACATCTTAAGATTCTTTTGAAATGTTTAACCAAGTTAATCAATGAATAAAGAAAAAGCTTCCTCTAGTTTTCTGACAGCAGATTAATTTCTGTAGAAAAAAAAATAATTGAATAGAAGATTTTGCAATAGTTAGGAGGAAGATTCATCTTAGTGCATTGATTATCAAACTAGGGACCTGAGGCCGGCAGCAGCAGCAATGCCAGAAAACGTAGTAGAAAGGTAGAAATGAAATTCTCAGACACCTACAGCAGAACTCCTGAACCAGGAACTCTGAGAGTGCATGTTTTATTAATTCCTCCATGGAAGGCTAATGTTCACTGAAATGTGAGAACCACTTCTCTAAGGCAATGGTTCTTAAATTTCAGTGTGCCTAAGAATCTTTAGAGAAATGCACTGAAATGTAGACTCCTGGCCCCCTTACACATCCATCAAAACTAGAGATGGGGTTTTGGAAGAGCACCAGGTTTTACCTTGTGTTGATTCATTCTTTTTGTTTTATGTTTATTTATTTGTAAGGGAGAAAGAGAAAGACAGAACCCTAATCTGCTGGTTCACTTCCCTAAATGCCTGCAGTGGCTAGGGCTTAGTTAGACTGAAGCCAAGAGCCAAGAACTGAAAAAAGCCCTTCAATGTGGGTGACAAGGATCCAACTATTTGGCCCAGCATGAACTGCTTCCCAGGGTGCATGTTAGTAGGAAACTGGAATCAGAGGTGGAGCTGGGACTGGGACTAAGCCAATGTGGTATGGGAAGAGGTCTTATCTGCTAAGCCAAATGCTTGCACCTGTTTCATTCTATTTTTATTTATTTGTACTAATTGTAGTTGACAATATGGAGTCATTGAAAAGAAAACAAACTTTTTATAAAAATGTTTAAATATGCACAAAAGTAGAGCAAAGCATATAAAAATTCCCAAGAAATTATCACTCAACCTAAACAAATTTCAATATTTTATACCTGTCTTATTTCATACACCTCATTTTATATTTTAGTTTTTTTCTATGAAAATATTTTAAGAAAATTCCTATCATCTTACCAGCACAAAGGTACTTCAAAAAATTCATGGAAAATGGAATTTAAAGACATATTTATTTTGGCACAAAATGATTTTGAAATACACGCACAGTTTGTTATAACACACGTTTTCCATCAACTTTTTGAAGGCTTCCCATTATATGTCTTTTCTTTCCCATTACCAATTGTCATTATTACAGTGAACAAAATGAGAAACAGTACTTAATATATTTATCGCAGAAATACAGAAGTGTGACTTTTGTAACTGGTCTGAACACTGGGTTCGTTTGCTATCCCTTTAAGTCTCTGTTGCTCTGCAGTAGTTGCTTCTTCCCCACTCTACCAGTTATTTGCTGGAGAAACAAGGTCATGTGTCCTTTATAATTTTCCACACCCTGGACTTGGCTGAATGTACACTCATGATTTGTGTTTAAAGTAGCTCAGTACATTGATCCAGAAACTCATTGTGCTTCAAATTCGCATGTTTTGGCAAGATACTGCAAAGGTGGCACAGTGTACTTTCCATTCTGCCCTACCAACAGGTACATAATGTCTGGCTGTAACAGTCGAAGAACTCTTAAATCGATCAGTGAGGGGTAGGTGTTGCCCATCTGATGCACAAAAGTGAAAATTATATTGCAGTTTTCCTGCTCTGCAACAGGACAGAGATCCTTTCCTCCACTGAGCGGACACTGGCATGTGGAGACCACAGTGAGGATGTGAGGACGCTCACCGTCACTAAACCTTTTCAATGGGCAGAACTAGGATAGACATCTCTCAGAAGGAAAATAAATAATTAGTTCATGCTGATATCTGCTATTAAAATTAAGATTACCAGATATTTACTTGACCTTTACACTGATGACATGAATGTCAAACCAACAATAAACATACTGAATATGGTTAAGATTTCTATCCCAAAGCTGGTGTTGTGGCACAGTGGGTTAAGTCCCTGTTTGCAATGCCAGCATCCCATATTGGCATCCATTCTAGTCCCAGCTGTTCCACTTCCAATCCAGTTCCCTGCCAATAAGCCTGGGATAGCCACAGAAAATGGCTCAAGTACTTGGGCCCCCTACTACCCATGTGGGAGACCTGGATGTAGTTCCAGGTTCCTGGCTTCAGCCTGGTCCAGCCTCAGCTGTTGCGGCAACTTGGGGAGTGAACCAGCAGATAGAAGATCTCTCGCTCACTTTCTGTGTCTCTCTCTGCCTTTCATATAAATAAATAAAATCTTTTTTTTTTTTAAATGTCTATCCTATAGAGGGAATATATGGTCAAAATATTGTGTTTTGAGGCCAGCGCTGTTGTGCAGTGGGTTAACGCCCTGGCCTGAAGAGCCGGCATCCCATATGGGCGCCAGTTCGAGTCCCGGTTGCTTCACTTCCAATCCAGCTCTCTGCTATGGCCTGGGGAAGCAGTAGAAGATGGCCCAAGTCCTTGGGCTCCTGCACCTGTGTGGGAGACCTGGAAGAAGCTCCTGGCTCCTGGCTTCAGACCGGCGCAGCTCCAGCCGTTGTGGCCATCTGGGGAGTGAACCATCGGATGGAAGACCTCTCTCTCTCTCTCCCTCTCCTCTCTCTGTGTAACTCTGACTTTCAAATAAATAAATACTTCTTAAAAAAAATATTGTGTTTTAAAGTCACTTGAAAGATTTCTTATCTCTGTGGACCTTTGCAGCAATATGATGTAGTGTTAGATTTTCTCCAGATTTTTTTAAATTTAGGGTTATCACTTTTTAAAATTTATAAAGTATTTATGATTTTCAAAATTAAAGCTGTAAGGGCTGATACTGTGGCATGGTAGGTTAAGCCTCTGCCTGTGGCACTGGCATCCCATCTGAGCACCCATTAGATTCCCAGCTCCACTTCTGATGCAGCTCTCTACTAATGCACCTGGGAAAGCAACAGAAGATGGTCCAAGTCCTGGGGCCTCTGCACCCACGTGGGACAACTGAATGAAGTGCCTGGCGCCTGGCTTTTGATCAGCTCAGCTTCAACTATTGCAGCCATTTGGGGAATGAACCAGTGGATGAAAGATCTCTCTTTCTCTGTCTCTCCCTCTCTCTGTCTGTAACTCTGCCTTTCAAATAAATAATTGTTTCTCAGCCTTTTGACTAAGATCAAGTATAGTATCAAATAAATAAATAAATCTCTAAAATAATGAAAACTTTAATACAACGAAGATTGTAAGATATTTAGCATCCATTTATGTCTCTTCAGTTTCAGTAATTTAATATTAGAAATATGCATATATATTAGGTCATCCCCTTCTTTTTAAAAATATTTATTTTTATTTATTTGAAAGACAGAGTTACAGAGAGAGGTAGAGACAGAGAGAGAGGTCTTCCATCTGCTGGTTCACTCCCCAGATGGCTGCAATGGGAGAAGCTGCACCAATCCAAAGCCAGGAGCCAGGAGCCAGGAGCTTCCTCCAGGTCTCCCATGTGGATGCAGTTGCCCAATGACTTGGGCCATCGTCTACTGCTATCTAGGCCATAGCAGAGAGCTGGATTGGAAGAAGAGAAGCCAGAACTAGAGACAGCGCCCTTATGGGATGTCAGTGCCTCAGGCTAGGGCTTCAACCTGCTGCGCCACAGTGCTGGCCCAAGCCCCTTCTTTTCTTACCATAAAAGTAGTATATATTGTTCTGTATTGGCCTTTTCATCTAACACTTTGTCCTGAGGATTATAACATATAAGTGTGTACCAACTCTCTTCCTTCCTCTTTATAGCTGCATAAGCACAGCTTTACAGAATATTTAATCAGTACCCTAGGAAGACTTCTTTGTAGATTTTTGTTGTAACAAATTTTACCACAATGATCAGTCTTGTGTATGAGCCATTTTGTATTTTTGGCCAGTATTTCTGTGGGAATTGCCATATTCTTAGAAGACAGATAATGGAATCAATACTTATATATATATATATATATACATATATATATATATAATTTTGGTAGACACCGACATTAAAAAACAAGTACCATTTTGAATTCCCAAAGACAGTGTATAGAAGTTTATTTCCCCACAGCCTTAACAATACATATGTTATCAAACATCTTTATTTCTTCCCATTTCATAAGTGAACAATGTTTTCTCCATGTAGTTCTAGTCACATTTCTGTTGTTAAGCATAAGAGTTTAATAGCCAAAGTTACATTTACTTTTTGTTCTCTGTAAATTGCTTGTAGCAGCCTCTTTTTTTTTTAATTTTTCTTTGGGGAAGGATGTTAAAAATTCTAATGTAATTAGATTTATCAAAATTTTCTGGTTTTGCTTATGCATTTTATACACAGTTGAAACACTTTTCCTACACTCAGATAATAAAGAAATTCACTCACTTTTTCTTACACTTGTTTCTTACTGTTCTTTTTTGTACCCAGAATTTTAAACAAGTTACTGAAGAAATTCGCAATCCAAGCTTGTAAGTTAATGTCAAACACTGTTGTTATTTAACATCAGACATATTTAACAGTCATGTTCGCATTTTTCTTAATTCTTCTAAATGATGTCAATCTGCTGTCTTCGTGCCTAAGTGACAAAATTTTCCATTAGTAGGAGAGAAAATATTATTTATGGAGTCATTTATTCTGTAAACATATTCAATTATTAAAATCCTTACCAATCTAAGAGAAGACAACATAAACCATTACGATGCAGCCCACAATCCAGCCAATCAGGAGAAGAATAGGCACCAAAAGGCGTGATAACGTAGCCTCTGCTTAAAAGTAAAGCGAGAAAACAGATTAGGTCACATTCTAAGTAAATCTTCTGAATCTGGAGAATAAGAGGCAGTGGGTACTTAGCGCAGAGGCTAAGACTCTGCTTGGGATGCACACACCCCATATCACAGAGGCTGGTTGCTAGTCCTGGCTCTGCTTCCAATTCCAGTTCATGCACCCAGAGAGCAGCAGATAATGACTCAAGTATTTGGGTCCCTGCCATCCACAGACGAGACCCACACTGAATTCTAGGTTTCTGGCTTCAGCCTTGTCCAGCCCTGTCCATAGTGGGCATTTGGGAAGTGAATTAGGAGATGGAAGATCTTTCTCTGCCTGTCTCACTCTGCCTATCTTTCAAATAAAACTGAAAATAAATAATAACTTTTTTAAAAAAACACACATTTAACATTTCTTTAAGAAAAGATACAATAAGAGGAATGTTGGTAATGTCATAAATATACTCTACATCGTATCCATAATATAATTATGTTTGGTTTTTACAAAGGTTACTTATAGCTAGGTGTAACACCTGAGTATTTGGAATAAGGACCTGGGTTTAAATCAAAGGTTTTCCTTTTACAATTATGTGACCTTGGACAGCTCTGAGCCTGAACATCATTTATAAAATATGTATAATGAGACCTGTGGCATCTAGTTCCTGGAGTTTCTTCAGGGTTAAATGATACAGCATGGATGAAGAGTTTTCTGAGTTCTAATTCCTGTATAAGTGTAGGCTGTACAGAACACAACTGCATATTTGTGCAATGATACATAGACACACTGTGTATATAAAAACAATCCAATATTCCTCAGGTAACTCCAACTAACCTAAATAATCAAAAGTGAGGGAAAGGTGTTGAGAATTGTTCTTGGCCTTAGGAACTAACTCTAAACTTAAATATCACAGGAGAATGAATACATTATATCTTATATAATCATTCTCTACTAGAGAGAAGAGATTCTATTTTTTAACTTGTTTAACATAACAACCAGCGCTAAACCTAAACCTGTGGTTAGTAGTGATCCAGCTCACAAACACACACACACACACACACACACACACACACAAAGTTTTTATACATGATACCTCCTGTGTCTCCTATTTGTACTCTTATTGGTAAAATCCAATTTATAAAAGTATCTTTTCAAAGTAGTCACTGTATTGCAATCTATTTTCTCAAGAACACACACACATATCTATCTCCACATGCATCACATGAACAGAGTCAGAAACATAACAGCAATGCATCCTATAGAACATATTCTAAGTTGAAAAGCACAATGAGGTCTTATGCCTTCAGCTAACAAAGAGAAGTCATATTCTTAGCAATTGCACTCCTATTATAGTCTCCATCACTTTAAAATGTGAAGACTTTTTAAAGCTATTGAAATAAAATCATCAAGAGAGTAGACACTTCTAAAATTAGAAGGCACTCATAAAAGCAAACTTTCTTAAGTTGAAATGAATTTTAATACTTTCAAACTGTTTTTCCAAAAATGTTAGAGTCTCTATTAACTGATAAATACAAAAAGCTTTCCTTGTTTCTCCTTCTCACTGTGACCTTGAACAAGGTGTTAACCATTAAGTGAAAAAACCCTCCTGTTTATTTGCCACGTGATATTGTTCTAAGGACAAAACACGCACTATGAAATACCCTTTACTCTCATTTGGACAAAAACCTTTTTGTGAATTAAGGTATCATTATAGAAGAAGTATCTAGCAGTGTTTTTTAACTGCTCACATATATGACTCAGTATTTTTCCCAATTTTAAAGAACATAAAAATCAATAGTGATACTTTAAATAAGCATTTAATTAGTATTTTATACCTGCATGTTTTATAAAATATAACTCAAGAATGTTTTAACAAATTTACATATCACAAAAGCCCTAAAAGTAAATATTCCTTGGAAAACAATACAAATTACTGCATAGTATACCTGCATTAGTGTTCTTTTTACTGTAATATTTCCAGTTTAACCACAATTAGTAGCATTGTTTGGAAATAGTGATCTATAAGAACACAACGTACTTTGCAAATGTCATTTACATTGATAACATAAGTAAGAATTAAACCTCTCTTGAAACATGAAGAGCAATTTCAAAATGTTTTTCTCTTTGTCCAGTTTGGCATACCAAAGCAGTTACATCTGGAAATATGAGGTGCACAGACAGGATACTCTGCAAGAAGAGAGTAGGTTTCAAGACCCAGTGCTACCTATCTCTAGTGACAATGGATTGTGAGCTAAATTGTGCCATGTATGTCTCTCTTCTTACCTACAAACGAGATGGCATAATATACATAGCTTACTACACTATTGAGAGAATTTTAAAAATTTCTGCAGGCATTTAAAAAGTTTCTCAAACTGTATATATTTATCCTATTTTGTCATATTGGAGTCGATTATTTTACATAAATATAAAATATAAAAATGTTTACAAACCAGAAAAAATACACTTAGATGTCGAACATGTTTGAGATGATTGAACCCAATATTCTCATTTTACAGTCAGAAAGCAAGCTAAACAGGACAGAGGGACTTCTCCAAACTCACATGGGGACTCCGCAGATCTGACCCAGAACTCAGCCATGCTTAGTTCTGACCCAGCACACACCAACACCTTAAATCTAGTACAACACTGGCGAATAACCAATTTCTAAGCCACCTTTCAAAATAGGAACAAAAGTAAGCTCTTCTGTTCATTTGGTTCTTTCACAATTTCTGTTAACCTAGGGACGTGATCTATAGACTGCACATCTAATGTGTAGCCACGCTAACATACGTGATTAATAATCCTTGCAGCAGAGATATCACATTCTTCACAGTGACGAGAAACACCAAGAAACACAAATAAACCAACTTCTGAAAGCCTTTTTGCCATAAAGCTTACCTTTTTCAGCCATTATTCCTGCTGTGGAGTGGCTTAGTCAGGCCCCACTCACCTCTTCCTTATTGTTATCCAGTGTCTCTTTGAACTTTAAATAGAGAGATATGTGGAGAGTGTGGCAGCTGCCCCATTCCTGGCTGCCAGTTGTCTGTAGGGTGATGTAAGTCATTGGAAAGCAGAGCTCCCCTGGCTTTTATCCTGTTATTGTGGAGGGAACAAGGGGCTAGGTGGCCTAAACAATTAAGTAGGTGGAGTTAAGCTAATGCAGATACACAGAGTTTTACCCATTGCCCTCAAAGGACAGGAAGAAAATATTTCAAGAGGGATGCGTGTAGAGGAAAAATGACCTTGCAACTAGAAAAACTGTACCAAGGAGAGAGGATGATGCGTTGGAAAGAAAGGACTTTGGAATTGGAGAGACTGGGGTTCAAATTCCAACTCTGCTATTTTTGTAGTGAAGGCCAAGTTGTTGCACCTGGTCATCAGCTTCTTTAATTTTGAAATGAGGATAATAATACCTTCCCTTGAGCGTTGTTAAAACTAGACAGTTCCTTGTTACATTATAGATGCAAATGATAAAATATATGGTTCCCCTTCTTTCGAACTCTTCTGGAAAAAAAGATTAATATAAATGTACTAGAAACTAAAGCACTAAGGATGCTGTAGCATTGTCTGCAGTTTTTGGAAAGCAGTCAGAAGCTTATTGTGTTTATTAGCAATGTATAAAAATAGGTATTTCATTTTTCAAAGTCCAACTTGGTTTATGTAACAGGATCTAGACTATTCTCTAGATTCTCATTGGAATAATTTTAATTCTGAAGTCTGGATGGAAAGAATTTTGCAAAGGAACTCTGTGACTAAATTCCAAAAAATCATACGTAAGGAAGTCTTTCTCTAAAAGACAGGTCTTGCCTGACAAAATCCACCTCCACAAAGCTCCAAGAGTAATACTTCCCCACAAAAGGACCACATACTATCACTGCTCAAAATCGTTCAATGATTCTCTGCCTCCTAAGAATACAAATCTGATCCTTGTTCAGATTCCCAAAAAGCCTGCCTCCCTGCTTTTCCATTTGCAATGACGCTTCAGTCACACAGATGCCTTGCTCTTGTGTGAGCTGAGAATGCCCCCACACGCAGGCAAGGAAAACATGAGATTTTCTACGTTAAGTAATGTTCCTGTGGATTCAAGTATGGAGCCAACTATTTGACTTGTTTATTATCATTTAAACAAAGTGGTTTCTTTCTCTCTTTCTCTCCCCCTCCCCCCATTTAAGATTGAAAAGAAAGTAACTGTGCCAGGAAAGCAGAGAAGTTTTACATTGTCTAGGAAACAAAATCCTTTGTTTACCTGGTACAATTCAGTGTTTTTAAAATTAAATAATATCTATTAAACAAGCGTTCAATAAAGGCAAGACAGAGAGAAGGAAAGATGATCATTTGATCATTGATTTCAGTTAAATACAATAACTGTAATTAAGTAGCTCAAATGGAAAAGCTAATTGTCTTAAAGGAGAAAAAAGAAATTTAAAATAAATAATGAGGTACTCCCCAAAGAGCACATACATATCTACTAAGGTAAAGTAATTTGCCTAAAATAAAGGAAAATAAAAAGACATCTTTTTATTTGGTTATTGTTTATAACACTTGTCTATACTCCCAATGAATTATGGCATTTTACTCTTTACTTGTTAAGTGTTTATTTAGTGGAGTATTAAGCCTTTCGCTATAACATAAATTTAAAATATGTTATCTCAAAAATTAAAAAGAGGAAGGAAGGAAGGAAGGAAGGAAGGAAGGAAGGAAGGAAGGAAGGAAGGAAGGAAGGAAGGAAAGGGAGAGGCAGGAAGGAGGGTGGGATGAAGGAAAGAATCATTATATTCTTAGAATTGTATCTATGAGGCCAGCACCGCAGCTCAATAGGCTAATCCTCTGCCTGCAGCACCAGCACACTGGGTTCTAGTCCCAGTTGGGGTGCCGGATTCTGTCCTGGTTGCTTCTAGGCCAGCTCCCTGCTATGGCCCAGGAGTGCAGTGGAGGATGGCCCAGGTCCTTGGGCCCTGCACCCGCGTGGGAGACCAAGAGAAGCACCTGGTTCCTGACTTTGGATCAGCGTGGTGCGCTGGCTGCAGCGCCACACCGGCCGCAGCAGCCATTGGGGGATGAACCAACGGCAAAGGAAGACCTTTCTCTCTGTCTCTCTCTCTCACTGTCCACTTTGCCTGTCAAAAAATAAAAATAATAAAAAAAAATTGTATCTATGAGCCACATTGAATCTGTCCTCCTTGTAGTAACATCACATTAAAATGAGAGTTGTGTTGTAGTAACTGTCATGCATTTGCTGTGATCCTGGAAATTTAATATATTAAAAAATTACTTTAAACATTTTTAAAAGAATATAAAATAGTTGCTACATTTTAAACACTCATTTCCATTCCAACCATTTTATGATTTATTTATATGAAAGTGACTATTACTAACATTATTGCTATCAATATGGAGTTTGAGAAGGGATTACTTTTTAATTTTCTTTTATTTTTATTACTCTTCTATAAAAAGAAAAGGTAGGGGGTATTGAATTCAATGAACATGAATTGCCCAGACCTCAGAAAACAGCTCAGTCTAGAAACTCATTTCCTTGATATACCGTCATTTTCTTTAAGTTTTATAATGTTTACTCAGGAAACAATGTTTTATTCATTAATACAGTAACTTCACTTTTTAAAAAAATTATTTTATTTATTCAAAAGACAGAGTTGCAGAGAGAGGTAGAGCCAGAGGGGGAGAAAGAGAGAGAGAGAGAGAGAGAGAGAGAGAGAGAGATCTTCCATTATGCTGGTTCACTCTCCAAATGACTACAACGGCCAAAGCTGAGCTGATCCGCAGCTAGGAGCCAGGAGCTTCTTCCAGGTCTCCCACATGCGTGCATGGGCCCAAGAACTTGGACCATATTCTACTGCTTTCCCAGGCCATAGCAGAAAGCTGAATCAGAAGAGGAGCAGTCCAGACATGAACCATCTCCATATGGGATGCCAGCGCTGCAGGCTAGGATTTTAACCCGCTGTGCTACAGCATCAAGCCCATAATTTCATTTTCAACTCATAAACCCAAAAGCCTATATGTGACCATTTTCTAATCTTAGGATGTATTATTTAAGAACATTTTTCTCTTTCTACTTTACACACTTTTTTGTGATATAATATCATTCTTTTAAAATTTTATTTAAGTTATACAAGTTTCATGTGTTTCATATCTACAGATTTAGGAACATAGTGATAATTCCCACTCTACCCTCCATCCCACTCACACTCCAGCCCCACTTCCTCCCCCTGTCACATTCCCACTTTGACTTTTTTTTTTTTTTTTTTTTTTTGACAGGCAGAGTGGACAGTGAGAGAGAGACAGAGAGAGAAAGGTCTTCCTTTGCCATTGGATCACCCTCCAATGGCCGCCGCTGCAGCCGGCGCACCGCGCTGATCCGATGGCAGGAGCCAGGATCCAGGTGCTTTTCCTGGTCTCCCATGGGGTGCAGGGCCCAAGCACCTGGGCCATCCTCCACTGCACTCCCTGGCCATAGCAGAGAGCTGGCCTGGAAGAGGGGCAACCGGGACAGAATCCGGCGCCCCAACCGGGACTAGAACCCGGTGTGCCGGCGCCGCATGGTGGAGGATTAGCCTATTGAGCCACGGCGCCGGCTCCCACTTTGACTTTTTATAGAGATCTCTTTTCAATTTGCTTAATGATTACATAATTAATCCTACACAAAGTAAAAGAGTTCAAAAAAAAAAGATGAAAAACAAAAATAAAAACAGTGTTCATCAATGGAAGAGACAAGATCTGTAAATAATCATCAAATCTCAGAATACTCTTTTCTCTCCAATATATTGCATTTCAGGTACTCTATTAGTTACCTCAGATCAGGGAAAACATATGATACCTGTCATTTTGGGACTGGCTTATTTCACTAAGTATAATGGCTTCCAGTCCATCTTGTTGCAAAGACAGGATTTCATTTTCTTTTTTACATCTGAATAGTACTCCATAGTGTATATACAACAATTTTTTATCCCATGAACAGTTGATGGACATCTGGGTTGATTCCATATTTTAGCTATTGTGAATTGTGCTGCAATAAACATGGGGGTACAGATAACTCATATGCTGATTTCTTTTGGTTTGGGAAAATTCTCAGGAATGTGATGGTGGGATCATATGGAAGAGTCTATACTCAGATTTCTGAGATATCTTCATACTGTCTTCCACAGTGGCTTTACCAGTTAACATTCCTACCAACAGTTTTTCCCCACTTCCTCGCCAGCATTTGTTGTGTGTTGATTTCTGCATGAGAGTCATTCTATCAGGAGTGAGGTAAAAACTCACCATGGCTTTGATTTGCATTTCCCTGATGGCTAGTGATGCTGAGCATGTTCTCAAGTGTCTTTTGCCAGTTTGAATTTTCTCTCTTGAAAAATGCCTGTTCAAGTCTTTTGCCCAAATAAGAAAAAAATTTTTAACTGGATTGTTTGTTTTATTAAGTTGCTTGAGCTCTTTATAGATTCTGGATATTAAGTCTTTATCAGTTGCATAGTTTGCAAATATTTTCTCCCATTCTGTCTGTTGCCTCTTCACTTTGCTGAATGCTTCTTTGCAGTGCAAAAGCTTCTCAGCTCAATGAAATCACATTTGTCAATTTTGACTTTGATTACCTGTGCTCCTGGGGTCTTTTCCAAGAAGTCTTTCCCTATGCCAATGTCTTTCAGGGTTCCCCCAATATTCTCTAGTAATTTGATTGTATCAGGTCATAGATTTAGGTCTTTGATGCATTTTTGAGTGGATTTTCCTATAAAGTGTAAGAGAAGGGTCTGCTGCCCATGGATATCCAGTTTCTCCAGCACCATTTGTTGAAGAGACTGTCCTTGCTCCATGTATTGATTTTAGCTCCTTTGACAAAGGATTTGTATGGCAACACTTTAAGGAGTAATAGGTAGTAAGATGATCTTTGTTAATTTCTCATCCTTAACATATGCTTCCATAGATATTACTTTACACAGTCTATTGAATTAGTGGTAACACTGGAATAATCTGTAGATCAGGGTATGGTCAAATGAAAGTGAGTGACTTTAAGCAGAAACAGAAGAGAAAGGGCCTCCTGAATCTCTCTTCTTCATAAA